TGACAGCACTGGGGCCTGCAGCAACTGGACACACAGCAGCTGGGGCGGCAGCAGCTGGACACACAGCAGGAGGGGCGGCAGCAGCTGGACACACAACAGTTGGGGCGGCAGCAGGTGGTCCTGCAGCAGGTGGTCGGGCAGCAGCTGGGGCGGCAGCAGGTCTCCTGGCCTTGACCACAGCCCTGGTCAGAGCAGACGGAGCCACAACAGGAGTTGCACATAGTGTCAGAGGGTGGAGGTTCTGGTGTGTTGACAGGAGAATGTGATTCTTGAATATGAAGGTCTCCCCACTCCATGTCCCCTTTTATACCCATCTGAAGAAGCTCTTTCCTTGTTATTGTTTATTCTAATAAAGCAACAATTATCAAATGAGGCAATGCCTAATTCAGTGCAGCTTGGACTTCTTCCTTTACTACTGTGATTCTTAATCAGATGATACGTGCTGACATGGTAGAATGCCAACCAATTATTTTTGGGACCAGTCCTTGGAGAGGGACATCATGCTTGGTAGGGTGGAGGGACAGCGCAGAAGGGGAAGGCCCTCTATGAGGTGGATTGATTCAATGACTGGGATAATCAGGATGGGTGTGTCTGAGAGTGCGATTGGCACAGGACAGAGCAGAGTTTAGGTCTGTTGTACATAGGGTTGCTATGAGTTGCAAGCGACTCGATGGCACATAACAACAACAACAACAAATGTGTTCCAGGTTTAAATCCCTTTCCCATATTTAATCAATTTGTGTGCTGAGCAAATAATAAAAGAAACTGGATTTGAGGGTCCTGACCTTTATGGATAGGAAGTAATTAATTATCTCTGTCCCCATCTTTTCCAAAGAAGTCCTAATCCTAATGTTCAGAAGTTTGTTTCTTACAATTGATAAAGTGCATCTAAATTCCTCTCCACAATAGTCTACATGTTTCCTACTGCCAAAGGGGCCCTTTAGAGTAGTGAGAGAAGACATTCACCCTGAAACCTACAGTGTCCCTTTTCAGCAGGAAGTAGCTAAGAGAATACGCCGTCCCCTTTTCCTTATGAATCAGGGTGAAGTCTCTCTCAGGGAGGAGTGATAGGGAATGGCAAAGGACACACTGACAAAGGAGATTGATTAGAACTGGTTTTGACAAGCACTGTGGCAATGGGACAATTAAAACAGACTTTCAAGGAACATTCAACCTGAATCCTTCTGATCATATGGAGATTTTTGAAACTATTTCTTTGAGTTTATTTTGTTTGAGTTTAATTTGTTTTATTTGTTTGTGTATAAGGATGCTCATCTAGATGATAACATAATTATGATTAAAAACAAAAGGGGGGAAATATGGGAAGCTAATACTAAATATTTGTAATAAATTAAATGCTATTTAAATAAAATAATAATAATTAAAAAAATTTGTTTCTGGAGAAAAGCATATATCAAAATTTTGTGACTTAGTTCTTTTTTTTTTAATTTTATTAGTTTTAATGAACATTTACAGGGATTTTGGGTTTTCATTCCTTCATTGCTGCACCATTCTCTCTACCCTCCTCCCCAGTTTGTTCTTCTTCCCCGCCATCTGAATGTCTGTTGACTTGGTTCTTCTTAAAATCATTCTATGCTACCAAGCCCTAGGTCTTTCATTCATAGGGTCGTTATGAGTCATATAAGACTTGACAACACAGAACAATAACAAAAACAACATATAGAGCACTGTGTTGGCCTACTGGACAGAAAGTTATGCTACCAAGCCCAAGGTGAGTGATTTTAATCTGTGGCCCTCAGGCCTGGTTTAAATTGTTTTTTGTCCAACATACTTCTAAGTATCACCGGTCAATGCACTGTTGTACAGAGGTAACTCGTGGTTGCTGTGAGGCTAAATACTGTGATACTGATGTGGCAGATACGATAATGGTTACCCATGGTGGACAGTGTTGGGTGGAGGTTCCTGATTAAAACAAACTTGGAAGCAGGAGTGGCATCCACTTCTGAAATGGCTTGCCTCTGGAAATTCTATGAACAGTGCTCATATGAACTCGTTCATAGGTCGCTCTGAGTTGTCTATGACTTGACGACACTTAACAACAACAACATAAAAAAGCTAGATAATTTTACATGATTCACAGTGGGGAGGGGATAATCCTAATCACCATCTGATAAACATATTTTCAAAAGTAATGTATTTACACCTTTTTTGCTCACCTGAGTTACAAAGAACAAACCATCAGACTGAAATGTGGGTTTATCTTCCCAGGTCACCAAAAAGAATTGCTGGCCCATGAGAATCATTACATACCATGCTATCTGAATGAGACTGATACATGCACAGTATGTCTTGTGACAGCTCTCCTGGAGCTAAAACAGGAAAGACAAAGAAGTGATTGAAGAAGTGAAGGGATGAGTCCTCATCAGGACTCATCAGGAAAAGGAAATGAGGTTTACTAAACACCCAAAACAATTTTAACAAGAAAACAAATGGGCCTGATTTGATAATTGACTATTTACCTGAACAAACACTGACAAGGAAGACCTTGATGACCGCAGCCCTTGTCAGAGTATAAAAGGGGACATGAGGTAAAGAAACATTCATATTCAAATCCAACACTCTCCTGTCAACATACCCAGAACCTCCACCCTCTGACACTATGTGCAACTCCTGCTGTGGTTCCGTCTGCTCTGACCAGGGTTGTGGTCAAGGCCAGGAGGTCTGCTGCCGCCCCAGCTGCTGTGTGTCCAGCTGCTGCAGGCCCCAGTGCTGTCAGTCTGTGTGCTGTCAGCCCACCTGCTGCCGTCCCAGCTGTTGCAGGCCCACCTGCTGCACTTCCAGCTGCTGCAGGCCCACTTGCTGCATTTCCAGCTGCTGCAGGCCCACCTGTTGCACTTCCAGCTGCTGCAGGCCCACCTGCTGCATTTCCAGCTGCTGCAGGCCCACCTGCTGCACTTCCAGCTGCTGCCGCCCCTCCTGCTGTGACTCCAGTTGCTGCAGGCCCACTTGCTGCATTTCCAGCTGCTGCAGGCCCACCTGCTGCACTTCCAGCTGCTGCAGGCCCACTTGCTGCACTTCCAGCTGCTGCCGCCCCTCCTGCTGTGATTCCAGTTGCTGCAGGCCCACTTGCTGTAGGCCCACCTGCTGTATTTCCAGCTGTTGCCGCCCCAGCTGCTGCCAGACCACCTGCTGCCGCCCAACCTGCTCTAGTGGTTCTTGCTGCTGAGCCCTCTGACCCGCATCTACCTGTTTTGCATTCACCAAATTTCCTTAGTATGGTGTTAATTTAATAACATGAAGCCAATTGGGAAACTCACTTCCACTGATTGCTCAACCCGATTTGACCTAAAATACACTGCTCATGTTGTTATCTCTTTCCCAAAGCAATGAAATTTAATTTTCTCTGAAATTTGTCAAATAACACGTTACCCAATTGTATTATTTATTTCCTTACAGATATTCTCCTACTTCTTAAATAAATCTTATTTTCTAGTAATATAAATACAAGTGTGTGGTATCCCATTAATTTTCCTTCTTTAATTGTTACTCTCAACTTTCAAAGGCTCTGTGGGTCTTTGTAGAAGACCAGAGCGTAGCAGCGACTTCAGGGGTCCCACCCTGATTTGCTGAGCACTCACTGCTCTGGTTTAGAGAGATGCTTTCTCACAGCCAGGACCTGCTTCTCTGCCTGAGGGCTTTCTCTTGATGAAGGAGCCAGACTTGGACACATGCTGGAGAACGCGTAAACCTTTAGGAGAAGACTTGGGACAGTGGATGGACTTTGTGGGTAAATTCCCTCCCTTCATCCCCTCAGGTGTCAGGTGTATTATTCCCATTTTACAGAGATCCTCAGTGTTGAAGATTTCAAGGTGCCTATGGTAATAGCCTGCTTACTTTCACTAATTGCACTATGTTGTCAGAGTAGACTGGTGCTCTAGAGGGTTTTCAGTGGTGGACTTTTTAAAGTAGATGTCTAGGCCTTTATTAAAAGATGCTTACTGATGGACTTGCATCTCTAACCTTTAAGTCAGCAGGCAAGTACTTTAATCCTTTCTTTGCCCTGCTCAGGGATTCCAGTTTGCTCCATAACTTCACTTTCTGTTAGCTTTCTTCCCACTTACCAACTCTCATCTTATCACTTCCCAAGTTTCCTATAGTTCTTCTTGTTATTATGTCCCTAGTAACTACTTGCTCTTCCATCCCTGTTTTTTTGTCTGCTCCTGTGTAAATTCTATATAAGATACTAACATTCAAAACTTAGTATCACAAATTTTTTTAAATATAATTTATTGAAATGTTATGGTCAATTTTTAATTACTGACAACTTAAATATTATATCTTTTGGATATTTTGCTATTTATACAGTTTCTGCATAGTTACACGTTTTTCACCCAGTTGTTTTTAGATGAGTAGTATTTCTTCCACATAATTATGTTTAATAGATAGGATACACCTTCAGGTCTAATATGACTCATTAACCTTCATCCTCAAGGAGGCTGGCTTTAGGAAGAACTGCTGTCAGCTGTGTATCTTAAATTGGGTTCACTGGCCAAGAGAAATCAAAGCCCAAGAGAAAGGATTCATGGGGCTGCATTAAGGAGAAACCATTAAGAAACAGAGGAATGCAGGATAGGTTTATAGTAGAAGCTAAGCCAAGATGGACTGCAGTTGAATTCCATCCTCAGACAATCTCCCAAGCTATTCTAATGCGTGAATGGTACAAAAAGCTTATTCCTTCTGTAGGCAGGGCAGCAGGACCTTTGTACTCCCTAATTCTTATTAGCTGTATTGCATTTTGAAAGAGCAGAAGAAACCTTTCACTTGAGGTTGTTTCTGGATCTGAGGACAAGTGCCTGGAGACCCATGCAGGGGAACAATATAAGGTTCAAGCAGCACATACTCATACTAGCCTGCGAATGGAACACCTTTCAGGCAAAAAGGATCTGGTAGGTTCACTCCTGGCACTCAGGTGCACCTATCTTTTCCATTAAATGCACATCAACTGGTTTGTCAACAATTCTAAAGAAACCTAGAAGAGGTGTCTGCAAACCCAGTTTAAAAAATAAAAACATTACTAAAACTTTACAAGGGGTTTAGTTTTTAAGAAGACCTAATTAAGATATTTAAGGATGCTTTTTGAGGATTACCAACTCCTCTCTATTTCCTGGAGGCTTTCCTGGTTTTAACACTGAAATTTTCATATTTTTGGAGCCTCTTTTCTTGGTCCTGAATGAATCGGCTTAATTGGCAAGCCTTGGTGATTTATTTATACAATTACAGGAAGTAGGGACACATGCATCAGCACTGTTGATTCTCACAGACATATGCCAAGCTAAAGACGCAAGACAGGAAAGAAATAATACTGTAAATGTCCATTAGTCTGAAGTTCTAGATCAAACACGACTAGTCTATCATGAAGGAAATGTTGAAATGAGAATTGCTTCCATTATGGTGCGTAGCTTAATGAAGAGACATGATGATATTTTCTAGTGTAAATATTCTTTGTTATGACAGGTGTGTGAGGCTTATATGCCTGTATCCATTAAAACTCATCAAATAGTACATTCAGGATTTATACGATTCGTGTAGGAAATTTTATATGAATTGCAAAATAAATTCTATAAAGAAATTTTAACAGCAACTGGAAATGTCTATTTAAGAATCTGTCTTTATACTTCTATCAAATTTTCATGGTGACTAATTTGTCTCAAGCATGATTTTGGTACAGTTCTGAGTCTCTTTGAAGTTGCCTTACTGTAATTTATTACGCATACGTGTGTGGCATTCCCAATATACTATGGATTTTCCATGGTTCTGACTTTAATCATGTGTCTCCCAGTTTAGTCACTCCAGAAATTTCTTTTATAAACAGAGGAGGAACGTGACTGTGGGCACAACTTCCTCCAAATTTGAAAAAAAAGAATCAAACAGGTGTCAAGGAGTGGTCCTTGCACAAGGTGTGGTCAATGTCATCAAGGGCACCTGTGTGAAATCCAGAGGCTCAGACCCACCAGCAATAGGATGCTCTGGGTGGGAGTGTTACCAGAACTCCTAATGATTCTGTTGTGCTGTAAAAGTTGGGCTAGCACTAAATAGAGGATATGAAAAACCAGTAATTCAATAACCTTGAATATATGAAAATCTTCTAACATTTAAAATTGGTCAAAACAAAACCCCCAAACTTTATGCTGTAAAAATTCTATCTAAAGGGATAAATTCTAAAAAAATTTATTTACTACTCAATAACGCTCTGGTGGTGTAGTCGGCAGGAATTAATGCTCTTACCCCAAAGGCCTCGCCTCTTTGGTGGTTCCAGTTCTCCACTAGGCAAATTGGGGGGATCCTTTTATTGTAATTTAATTGTAATGGAAATATTGCCAACTGGGGTATGGCTAGATTGTCAGATTCTTAAATCATGCTTTTAGTATGCTAGCTGTGGCTGTCAGGAAATTAATAAAGAACTGTATAATTCTATGCAACGTAAATAGAGGCAAACTTGAAGAGTAATCTACAGATGAAGAAATTTGGCTGTAATATTTGAACTAAGGTGTGATTTTCTGCAGGACAGTGGAATGTTCAGTCTTTTAGATGAATTGAGGAGATGTGGTAGGCACCAGGTCTGTGATTTATGGTAAGTTTGAATTCTGAGCTTGGTCCTGACCTGTAGAATGAACTGTCACCTCATTATATACTGGTAATTGAGTTACAGCCTCCTCGGGTGGTTCTAGAGATTGAGTTGGTGGCTCTTACAGAGTTGTAGAAAACTCAACTTTTGTTTGGGGTTCTGGAGACAGAGTAAACTCCAAGTTCCAAGACTGAACAGTGACATTGCACACGTTTTAATGGTAAAATTTATCTTGACTTGGAGATGGAACTGAGGCTGGCTGTTAAGTTATCAAAGATTCCACCACGTGGGAAGGCTCCTGTGGCCATGTTGGAATTTGAGCTACAACATGTGCAAACAGAGCAGGGAAGTGCTGCATGGTTTAGAATTGGGAAGGGAGAGCATCAGGGATGGATTCTGTCTCCATACCTGTTCAATCTATATGCTGAGCAAATTATTGGGTAAGCTGCACTCTATGAAGAGGAGTGTGGCATTAGGATTGGAGGGAGACTCATCAATAACCTGTGTTATGCAGATTATTATATTACTACCTTGCTTGCTGAAAGTGAGAAGGACTTGAAACACTTGCTTTAGAAGATCAAGGAAGTCAGCTTTCAGTATGGATTGCATATCAATGTTAGGAAAACAAAGATCTTACCATTGGACCAATAGGCAGCATCATGATAGATGGAGAGGAGATTGAAACTGTCAACAGCTTCATCTAGCTTGGGTCCACAATTGACACCGTTGGTATCAGCTGTCAGGAAATAAGGAGCAGCATTGCACTGGGAAAATCTGCAGTTAGGGACCTTTCCAAATTATTGAGGAGTAATGATATCAGTTTGAAAACAACTGCATGTCTGATTCAGGCCATGTCCTTTCCAATTATTAGCTATATATCTGATACCTGGACAATGAATAAGGATGACAGAAAAACAATTGATACCTTTGAGCTGTGGTATTGGAGAAGAGTACTGAACATTCCATGGATGGCCAAGAAAATGTCTTGTAGCCAGAGTGCTCTTTGGAGGCAAGAATGGTGAGGCTTTGTCTAACATACTTTGGACATATTGCTAGGAATTACTGTTCATTGGAGATGGACATGATGTTGGAAAGGGTGGAGAGTTGGCAAAGGAGAGGAAGACGCTCAACCAGGTAGACTGACAAGGTGACTGCAGGACAGGACTGGCTTCAGACCTTTTGTTCATACGATCCTATGAGTCCTACTTGATTCAATGGCACCTAACAACAAAAACAACAGTTAGGAGGCTCTGGAGACAGAACTGGAGTCTCCTAGTTTATTGCAATTTGTTCAACCTCTGTACTTGCTTCTGGGCAGACAGTAATCTCTTAGTCCAAAGGGTGAACTGTGACTCAATTTACAGGAGGAACTGTGCTTTTCTGCAGGGCTATAGAACGTACAACCTTGGTAGTGGGTTCTGGAGTTAAGGTAAGCTCCAGATTTTTAGGTTTAACTGTGATTTTAGGCACCTTTGAATGCTGAACTTGAACCTGATCTGATGGTGGAGTTGTCACCTCATGTTCACTTGAGGATTAGCCTGAACTTATTGAAAAGACTCTAGAGATTGAGTTAGGGTCCCATGTTCTGTTGGACAAAGTTC